TGGCAGAAATGTCTGAATTGATTGGTCCGGATAGTGAAGTATCTTGATCTTCACATGTTGCTTAGCTCTGAACTGTAACTCAAATGTGTGCAGTAAAACAATATTTTGACTCGTTGTGTTTTCGAATAGTAGGCACTAGTGAATAGCAGTTTTTATTGCCTCGATAAATATAAGCAGTTGTTGCACTTATGGGCTAAATTATCCAGCACCCGATTTGCTTGTGATTCATCACTTTGTTCCTAGGAAGTCTTAACAGTCTACATAAGATTTTCTTGAGAAACAAAAGTCTGTTCATAAGCATGTCTAGGACTAGTAGTGTATGTCGTAATTTCTTATTTCAAAATCCCCTTGCCACGAAATTGCTAATGACATTTTCAGTATTCTAATTAGGGAGGAGTTTAACTAGATGATTTAGTGTTAGATTATCAGCTAAGAAATGGCCGTATCTAATATAATGAAAGTTTGTCCCCAAATCCATATTAAGATAATTTGAATGGCTATACTTTCTGAACTCTGTTCTGGTATCTTAATTTTCATAATCAAGTAACTGGGCGTTTTTTACTTCTACAGATACAACAAACTCTTACATTATCTTTTCATTTCTGTACAGGATTCAATTTCTAGCAAAGGCGAGAAGACTTGGGTTGATGTTCATATGCCATGACTTGACTATTCAGAAATGCAAGGCTTAAGCATATATGTGGCGAGAGTGTTTCCATCTTTGTGTCTGTGCTCATCATATGTGAGTTCTTTCCGTGTATGGTCCGCAGTACTATACAGCCTACAAACTTTATAGTACCGCCCAGTTGGTTGTGGGACTTGGTTTCCTATTACAGTTTTGGTTCATGCTGAATTTATTCAGCTCTTGGACTGGCCAGTGCTATCTTAGCGTTTCTTTTCGGCTTTGGTGCATTAACTTGTTCTGTTATGGTGTGATCCTTTTATTCTATCTCCCTGTTAAGAGCTTTATGTTTGGAGTAGCGAAACATGGCGTGCTCATTTACAGATATTGCAGTTTTCGGCTGGGTGCCATCGATCCAGATGTTTGTTCCATGTTCTGCACACCTAGGCAGAGAAAACTGAAGATGAAATGCAGCAGCTCTGAACATATGTTACCAGCAATGGGAGGGATATCCACCCAGCAATTGCTGCTCTGAGACTAGCCGTCCATTCTGAAATCAAATGGTCCAATTCGGTTGCTGCAACCGTACTGTTTCTCCACACTATTGACGTCGGTGTCACGGTCTCAGTTGTCCCCAATGGCGGCCTAGACAAGTAGACAGTGCATTGGCCTCTCACGATCAACCACAGGTGATAGCTACTAGGCTTCGCCTCCTCGCACCCATATCCCGAATGTTTGCTGCAGTAATAGCAAGCTACATCTAATAGTAAACCTGTGTAGCTCATCTTCAGGAAGATCACGCCAGCAACAACTTTTAGCAATATGAATTGAGTAATTACCTGCTCGCATACCAATACGGAGAGCAGTCTACATGCAAAATTTTGGATTCTAGGGTCCAAAGTCTTTGAGTTCTCAGACCTGCTTTAAAATGTTAGAAACCAGCATAGGAGGAGGTGTGGGCTAGTGGTTGGGAGTGATCTGAAGGTCCTAAAAGCTGGGTGTTGCATTTGCCTGTAGGAGTTAAGTCCCAACAGAGGATATCTGACTCTGTCATCCCGAATTATTGGAGTGTTCAAAATTATAGAAGTAGTAGGCTGAGCAAACAGCGGATTAATGAGAGCATGGTTGCAATTTTTCTGATTATGAAGCCATGAATCTTTCACCATGGCAGGATAAACAAACTGGGATGTTGAATATTCAAATGATTGTACACTTCTGACCATGAAGAGCACCAAGGGGTGCTCCACACAGATATATTGCCTTGGGTGAGTTCATAAGAGCAATGAATTTTAAGCTTAGGCATAACTTTAAGAAGAGAGGACCAAAAACCTGATTTTGGTACAGAAGAGCTGGTCAACCAAATAGAAGAATCAGGGAAGTATAAGGCCTTAAGGATGCAGTGAAGATGAGACGAAGGGGCTTCAACAGTTCTCCAAGGGACATTAAGAGTTAAAGCTTGATTCATTGCAAGTTCCTAATCCCCAGGCACCCCTCTTTCTTTTGAAGTGGCATGTCTTTCCAAGCTTTGAGACAAAGAGCTTTAGAGGTAGAAATATCTTTGATCCTAGTCCACCAAAAGGTTGTAATGATGGCAGTAAGCTTAGCTATGAACTTCTTGGAAAGCATAATGTTGGCCATGTAATATATAGGCATAGAGGAAAGCATGTGCTGCACGAAACGTTTTGGGTAGCTACCGCCACAACCCTCGACATTGGTGATAGGATCTATATGCTACCGTCATGACTGTTGGCGGTAGACTTCTGCCACATCAGTGTGGTTAGTGGTCTTGGTCCAAGGGCTACCGTCATTGACTATGGCGGTAGCTTGTCTACCCTACGTCGCTGCGTGTGGGGATAGAAAAAAGTCAGATCTTGAAATATATTAGGAACTAGGGTCATTTCTTACTGATATTTGTCACTAAAGGTCAAAGTAGTGATTTTGGCCTCACACAAGCCAAACATCCGGAGCGCACCAAGGCCCTTGTGTCTCTGAGCTGAGCGGAGCCGAAGACCACGCCAAGTATTCGAAGCGCGCCAATGAGCAAAGGCAGCCTGCGCCAAGCGCTGCCATCGAAGACCGGAGCGCCACAAGGTCCAAACGCCGCACTGACTCCGCAGCCACAACGACTGCCATCGCCACAAAGCTAGGGCTGCCGCCCACAAGCTGCATCGCCATTTTTTGCCGTTGCCAGTCGAGCAACCCCTCTGTCACCGTTCGCTGCATGAACTTATCTTGGTGGCGTCATTGGGGGTGGATATGAGGTGGAGAAGAGGGGTGGCGGCGCCCAAGCTGCCATGAAGGCGATGCACATGATGTGGGAAAGAAAGACCGTGCATTTTAATGGACTTCCTCTTTTGTTTGGTATGTGTGTCCTTGGCGAGGACGTCTTGATAGTGAACACAATACCACAAAATAAACATACCACGACCCTGTGGCTGTATTGGTATGGCACCTCTGGCCAACTTAGCCATGATCGGTGAGCTTATGGTGTTTTCTTCCAGGAGATCATTGGCTCTCCGATCCGGTGGATTGATGTATGATGCTTTAGCCTGTTTTTCATGGTGGTGGTATCGATGATGGTATCCCACGTGTTTTGGTTAGAGATTCTCCCATTTCATCATCTCTACTGTTGAAGGGGGCTGGTGTTTGTACGTTACCTAAACCATGTTCTGCGTTAACTCAATCAAATCTTACCAAAATCAAGCGCTGCATGAACTCAATAAAATCTTACCAAAATCATGCCCTATATTAACTCAATAATCTTTTTACGAAATCATGCCATGCATAAACTCAATCAAATTTTACCAAAGTCATGTGCTGCATTAACTCAATCAAATCAAATAAAATTGTTACCAAAATCTCAACTAAATCAAAACTTTGTTTTTCCTTACCAATTCATACCCAAATCAAATCAAATCTTACTGAAAACACAACTAAATCAAAAACTATTTTCTTGCCTTCTCTACACACACTCAAATCAAATCAAATATTACCAAAATCTAGAATATGGTGGGTGTAACGTATATATCGGACATGATTGGTGTTGAACCAGTAGAATATGTATATCCCCATTACAATGCTTGGGCATTTTTTTATGAGTAGCTAGTTATTAGAGATGATGACTTTAAAGAACTTTGATTTAGAGATGATGCCTTACCTACCCATACCGAAATAAAATTTGTTGTTACTTTTTTTGATTATTAAATCTAATGTATTTCACCTAGTACTTAATAAATCAGATGTTTGCTAAAAATAAACTTATTTTTATCGTCAATGGTGAACAAATTTTAGGAAAAAAATATAGTCCAAAGATAATCCTCAAGCACCGTGGGTTCTAGGGAGAGTGAGGCCAACAAGCCTCCAAATAAGTAATGTATCCCTTTGAGCATTCGTATATGAAATAAAAGTTTGCATAAAAAATGGACTAAAGGTGGGTTGTTTATCACAAAGGAAAAAAAATCAGCCAATACGCAGCGTTCCATGCTCATGCAACTTGGCAATTTGTTCATAATTCCAAACTAAGCATCTCAAACTCATGGTCCTTTTGGACTATTTATATAATGTGGTGATCTTCTAAACATGGCATACTTGTATACGAAACAAAAACTTAAAATATTCATGTTGGTCACTCTTATAAAAAAAGGTTTAAATATTCTTGATCATGATTATTTTTTTAATGATATAACTCTTATGCGTCCAAATTCAAAATATTCGTGCATAAAAAATGTCCATGTCTATGAAATTTTCCATGTTTTTGGAAAAAGAAGGTTGTTGTATGAAAAGTAAAAAGTATAAAGACTTTGTGATGGGAACAATTTTAAGTAATCCTCAGAAAATATTAGAACCAGCTATGAACAAATTTGTTCAGAAAGAAGAATAGTTGTGATGAAACAAGAAACGTCTCATGAACATCTATTTTGGCCCGTGGAAAATATATGTTGGGTAACGGGTCATTTTTTAGCACTAAGTTGAACAATTATTGCAACCAGATATGGACAATATGTTTTACAAGATGGCTAAAAATTAGAAAACAAAAAATTGAACGAGAAAGAAATAGGAGAATGAACCAATGAAGACAGAAAGAAAGAAAAATATTTAAAAAGCTTGCCGAAGAAAACGAATCGAACGTTTTGGAGATGGGCTGGCCCAGGAGGCGGAGATTTTCCTTCCTATATAGCCTTTCTCCTGGAGCCCAACCTCCCTTTGAAGGTGAGGTGAGGCGGGTCCGCCCATCTTCCGATTCTCGTGGCGGCGGCGACATACCGGCGAGGTGAGGGTGAGGCGACTCCGCCGCAACTCGTGCATCTGTCCATCTCATCCCATTTTCTCCATCATCGCGCCGTTTGATCCTTTCTTGCCTCGCAGAGCCGACGACGCAATGACTCCTAGGAAGAAGCGCAAGAGCGCGCCGCCGGTGTCCGTGGCCGTGAGCGCCACCGACCGCATCGGCGCGCTCCCCGACAGTCTCCTCCAGCACGTGATCTCCTTCCTCCCAGCGCAGGAGTCCGTCCGGACGTGCGTGCTCGCCCGGCGCTGGCGCCACCTTTGGAAGTCCACGAGAGCCCTGCGCATCGTCGGCCTCGACGGCCGGGAGCCTGCCAGCGTCGAGGACCTCCGGGTGTTCGTGGACCATCTGCTGATGCTGCGCGAGCGCACCGACCTAGAAAGTGTCGAGATGATATTCCACAGTTGCTCCGAAGGCGAGGTGCCCTATGTGAGCCTATGGACCCGTTTCGCCCTCATGTGCAAAGTTCGGGCGCTATCCCTCGAAATCTCACATGCCTATTTCTACCAGGACGACCTGCCTCTTGCCTCTCAGTACCTGAAAACGTTGGACCTTTATGGTCTAGGCCTGCAGAAGGCATTTCTTGATTTTTCTGGCTGTCCAGCGTTGGAGGATCTGAAGATGAGTGAGTGTAACATCTCTGTCGATAGGATGTCATCACCTTCCCTGAAGCATTTGAGCATCACTGGTTGCCTCTCTGATTTGCGTGCCCGGCTCCGCATTTCTACGCCGGGCCTTGTCTCTTTCAAGCTAGATGACTTTTTCGGTAAAACCCCTTTTCTTGAAAACATGGCGTTGCTACAGACTGCATGTGTGAATCTTGGCAAAAGCTTCAGCGATGTCTGTATGAATTATAACTCCGGTGTCTTCTGTGGAGATAATAAGAACGGATGTGTCAATTGTATTTCACATAACGATGGCAGCAGCGATTGCATGCTTCTGGGTGGGATCTCAAGTGCTAAACATCTTGAACTGACATCTGAATCGAGCAAGGTATGACACTTTGTCTTTAACTCCTTTATTTATGGTTATACCTCTTTTGTGTTCCACTATCTATATCATTCATGGAAAACCGGAGATAAACAGATTACATGATTGTGAATATGATCATCTCGCATTATCACTTTCTCAGTAAGGATTACTTGATTTAATTACTTTTTGTATTTTCTTTCCAGCTCATTTTCACAAGAGATTTGAAATGCTGCCCTACATTTAGTAAGTTAAAGACTTTATTACTCAACGAATACTGGTGCGAGGCTCCAGACTTGGATCCACTAGCTTGCATTCTGAAAAAAACACCAGTTCTAGAGAAGCTCACTCTTCAACTTTATTTAAAGGTATAAATCTTTTAACTAGATAACGGTTGCAGTGTTAAAAGTTATTATCGGTTATCTATCTTGGTTCAATGTTTTCTCTTAATTACCATAGGGACCAACTCATAAAGTGGAAATAAAAGGAAGCTACAGTCCAATGGAGGGACCATCTACAATATCAGAGCACCTTAACATAGTTGAAGTCAAGTGTAATGTGGTCGACGAGAAGATTCTCAAAGTCTTGAAGTTCTTATCTGCATTTAACATACGTAAGCTAACTAATGACTCTTTACATGATCTCTATGTGCTTAAATTAGCTTCATACGTGGGAATGAAACTAATAACAAAGCAGGTAGTAAATAAAAAAACAAAGTATGCATGAAAACAGTTTGTAGGGATCTATTATTATTTAGTATACTGTTAAGACAGATAGAATACGAACGGCAGAGATTCACTAGTATAAAATTCCGATATTGTACGGCTGAGATTTATCAAATATATAGGAACTCACAGCATGTAAATCTAATTGGCTGGAAATAATTCAGTCGGCCAATTGTTGGATCCGGATGGGACTTGTAAGGTAAGCCAAGACCAATTAGCTTACGGTAGGATGAGACCTACATAGACACTAACTGGATCAGTTTAGTTATTACTACTGGATCCTTCCCAATTCAATTAGTACTCGGCTTCTTTAAACTGAATAGATTAGGTAAATAACCAATTGCACGCACGTACGTGGTAGATCCATACAAAAAATCAGCTTGTTATTTTTGATGAATGCACTATCACTAGTAGAAAAGGGGGCTTTGGTCCAGGCCGGGTAAGCCCATTAGTCCCGGTTCAGTCCAGAACCGGGACCAATGAGTGCATTTATCCCGGTTCGTGCGGCTAAGGCATTAGTCCCGGTTCATCTGGGCCCTTTAGTCCCGGTTCGTGCCACGAACCGGGACTAAAGGGTGCGATGCCCATTAGTCCCGGTTGGTGGCACCAACCGGTACTAAAGG